CAGTCGGAATGGTGGTGTTCATCTGTGACTTATTTTGGCCAAAAACGTCCATATTGTAAAATGTAACAATATATTGATCAAGTTAATATTAATATTCCTCTCGAAATCTGTCCTATGTAACAACAGCAAATAACAGTTGTAACAAATTTCTAATTGCTACCAGAACATTCCAAAATAGTAATAATGACTTATTCAGGAGACACTGGAGTAACAAAATGCGCTTTCGAATTCCAGTACTGTAAATAATAAACTTCGCGCCCCGCCCACTTTATCACAAAACGATTTCGATTGGCTACGTTCCGACTGCGTCACGCTTTCGTCATGATTTAATGTATATTCGGCGCTCAAAGCGACCGCGCGCCTCGCTAGGCATGACAAAATAGTGGCGCATTGTTTTGACTCACGGAACCGTCTGTATTAGCAAGGACATCTTGTTTTGGACCGAAATATTTTACATTTTTTTCAAATTATGCGTGAAACTATGTCAAACTATCCGTGACAATGTCGTTTAAACTGTCGTTGTGATGACAGTCAGCATGCATCAGGGTTTTTAGGCTGTGCTCGAACACATCAGGCAATATTTAGTCAAAACTGAAAGTCGCATTAACTATCGCGTTATTTTATAAGCTTTAAATTAGTTTCACCTATTAGTTTACAGTGTCCTTTTTTCATTATATTTTGAGACATGCATAATCAATGATCATAATCAATGTGATTGCCATGAATTAATAAAAGTAGCCCATTGTTTAGCAAGAGCAATCTATATAAAGTTGACATGGTGATACAGACTTTGAATTTGTGAAATATGTGAATACACAGATGTTTTTTTTTTAATCTGAATCCAGTTTCCATACATGTGCATGTTTCAGTTCACTGCTCAGTATGTATCAAACTACAATCATGTTCACTTTCTGTCTTGTCTAGTTTGGTGGGAAGAGTTACAGTACATGCGTGACTGATGTTCAAAAATGTACATAACATTTCATTTTTATGTGTTCGTCTGTCAGTTCACATAGGCATCAGAGCACTGCATCATCAAACACTGTCCTGCTTCATTAATGGCAGTATGCCTGAGAACAATGAGCACAAGGATTTGCTACAAGAGCTGTCTAATACAGTTTACGTCATCGCTTCATATCAGCCATGAACTGTGCCGCATATGAAGGTGAGGGAATAGTTCATTATTAATGTGCTGCTTCAGTGGAGATGAGGACTGAGTTCAGATTGTCATGACATTCCTCATTCCTCTCTCCGTCCACTGTCCTGTCCATTAAAACACATATAAAAAGCCCATAAACAAACCTGCTCATTTCATCTAAGCACATCTACAGTAGCTATGATCTTTCATGCAGTTGGAAAACAGAAGTATGGAAATAGAAACTGTAAACAGAAAAATAAGCATTGTATGACAGACACAGATGTGAACATGGTTCACTGCTCTAACACAATAGTCAGCTTTCAGTCTTTGATTTTTAATTTCATGTGCATACACTACTGTTCACGTTTTTTTTTTAAAGACATTTATTCAATAAGGGTGCATTAAATTATGCATTTAAAAAGTGCCAGTAAAGACATTTATAATGTTACAAAAGATTTCAACAAATGCTATCCTGGTGTCTTGGCTTTCCATGCCTTTTTGCACAGGTGTTCAATACTTTTTCCCTGTGTCATTCCACTTTATTACACATAACTTAATTTCTGAACTTACTTGTTTTGTTTAATTTGTATGTATGGATTACTTGGGTTGTTACCGACATCTGGTGAAAATTTCAAGTCAACAGCACCTTTAGAAATATATTTACTGAGAAAAATGGTCATGTGTTCAATACTAATTTTACCCGCTGTATGAAGCAGCACAACTGTTTTCAACATTGATAATAATCAGTTCATGAACTTTAGTTTCTCTCACAAGTCTTCTTTTTTGCTTGAAGGAATAGTTCACCCAAAAATTTAAAATGGCTTAAAATTGACTCGCCGTCAGGCCATCTAAGATATAGATGAGTTTGTTTCTTCATCAACAAGTTAATCATTAAGATAATATTAACTTCAAACCGTTGCTTCAGGCTAAAATACAAGTCCATACTCCATAATATTGCTTCCTCCAGTTTGAAGTTGTTCTGTCTGAATCAGGATTGAAATATGGAGAGATAATGCAAAGTTTACAAGCAAAAACAGTCCAAAACAGTTCTAAACAAATACGTGGCTGGATTTTCATGTGAGAGGACAATAGGCATGGACTTTTTCCCTGGAGGAAGCATTATTAAGGATTATGGACTATAGCTAAAATGGCTTGAAGTCAAAAACATCTTGATGCATTTGTTCCTTACGAACATGCAGCTTTTGGCTTCACAAGATGTTAATTGATGGACTGGAGTCATGTGGATTACTTGTGGATTATTGTGATGTTTTTATCAGCTGTTTGGACTCTCATTCTGACGGCACCCATTCACTGCAGAGGATCCATTGCTGAGCAAGTAATTATGTAATGCTACATTTCTCTAAATCTGTTCCCATTAAACAAACTCATCTATATTTTGGATGGCCTGAGAGAGTAAATTTTCAGGAAAATTTCGTTTTGGGGTGCACTAATCCTATAATGGACACTTTAGCTAGTATCTGTGCGATCTGATGCATCATTCCTTCCAGATAACTGATCCAAAATGTACTCTGGGGATCAACCAGACCGCAGGGTTTATCCGGAAAACATGTGTTTGGAGGTAATGTGGAGATCTTTGTATAAAGCCGGAACTAATCGAGCCGTTTGTGCCAGGCTGGGGAGAAAGGTATTGTAATAATGTAAATTATGTGAAAAATAATGCGTTTTTCGAACCACCAAGCATGAGAGCATGTTCTAGTACACCCCCAAAACATAATCAAGACTTTGTAAAACAGCATAATAGGACCCCTTTAATTATTATTTATTTTATTGAAATTCAGTATATTTTCTTTCTACAATCAAAAATACAATATCAGTTGCAATAAATAAATAATACGAAGGATAAAGATATTACAGATGATTTGGCCTCAAGCTGTGGGGCATTATCATGATGTTTCGAATCGAAAACAGATATGTTTGTATGAAATAGCAAAATAAAACCCCTTTTCTCTCTTCCCTTTTTAGTTTCCACTGAAATAAGTGTGTCACGATACCGTGATAAAAGCATGAGCAATTAATCGCAACATGAAAATTTGATACCGGCATATCCCTACTTGATATTCATAGATTCAGGAACAAGGGAAACCCCTGACAGCCTCATGGGCAGGACTTTCTGATTTCCAGGATATGGAATATTTGAACAATGCCCAGAGCACGTGACCACATAAACTTAAAAAAAATAAAATAAAAACCTTAAACACGTAAACAATCTTCATGCCAGTCACACTATTGCCACATATCAAATATTCACATACAGGGTGTGTGAGTTTCCAACACGTGTCTCAGTAAAAATGCTGCTGGTATACACACATTCCAAACACAAAAACATTCTAGATATATAATTTAATCAGATCATAAATATTCTAATATACATGTATTATACATCAACTTTTCTCCCATTTATGTAGATCTTCATTGCAAAGGACATGTAGTTATACTCACTAACTTCAAAACTTTCCGTATTCACTTCCCTTTGGGGAAAGTGTGTATTGTGATTATGATAAAAAGCATGTACTGTAGCTGACTGCATAAGAGCATGTATCAGCATATTAGAATGATGTTTAAAAGATTGCGTGACACTGAAGACTGGAGTAATGGTGCTGAAAATTCAGCTTTACATCACAGGAATAAATTACATTTTAAAGATATTCAAAATATTAAAAGCATGACTTTACCAATGTTTGATTTTCACCCAGAAATTGCTAGCAAGTTTCACAGTTAATTACAAAGAAACAGCAAGTAACACACTGAATTAAACATGACATTTTGAAATGGAAATACAAATATTAAAAGCATGACTTTACCAATGTTTGATTTTCACCCAGAAATTGCTAGCAAGTTTCAGTTAATTACAAAGAAACAGCAAGTAACACACTGAATTAAACATGACATTTTGAAATGGAAATATTGATTTTTTTTCTTGTAAAACACTCTAATAATCTTTGTTGTATTTACAACTTATAATATATTTTACAGTGTATGGGATGTTGATTTAGGATGCACATGTTTTCCCCCAAACTGAATGTTCACTGACGCAGTGACGCACTTTCTTTCTTTTTTCATTGGAGGTATTTGCCTTTCAGGACTTACAATAAAACTTTGTTGACGGATATTGTTGGTAATAAAAACATTCTTGTTTAAACCACAACAATCTTTGATAATACACTGGCCCAAAATGTATTGGAACACTTAAACCAGACTAAAATATCTGAATGTCATTGTATTGGCCAACAAAAATATTGAACCAGATGGCATTAACAGATGCTAGAGCGTTCTCAGAACTAACCTCACTTTTTAAGCCATATTTGCATTGATTTTAATAATATGGTCTCAAGATGATATTTAGTGGATGTATGAAGTCAGTTACATCACTTGCTCACCATTGGATGCTCTGCAGTGAATGGGTGCCGTCAGAATGAGAGTCCAAAGAGCTGATAAAAACATCACAATAATCCACAAGTAATCCAAGTCTCCAATCCATCAGGTACCGTCTTGTGAAGCCAAAGGCTTTGTGTTTGTAAGAAACTAATCTATCATTAAGAAGTTTTAACTTTAAACTGTTGCTTCTGGCCAAAATACGAGTCCATGATGACATTAAATGTGCCCTACTAAGAAATCTTCTGCCATCTTGTGGCATTTTATTGCACATCATCAAACTTTGCTGATCCTGTTCCCCTGTTATTATCTGTATACAGTCCTATCCAATAAAGCCATAAAAAGGCCATATATGTATTATTATAATATATTATATTACTGACAAGACATGATATGTGTGGAGCAAAATATATATATATTCAAAAACTTTATTATTAAAAAAAAAAAAAAAAACATTTTCAGACAAAAATACAATACATAAATCCACTACAAAAATGTTCAAAATCATTCAAATATGAATGAAATGACAGGAAGCACAAAGATAACACGGTTGGTAACCCATTTCCTAAAGTGGAATCAAGCCTCTTGTTTCTCTCTCATACAGATCTGGAATGTGTCCGACAGGCGAGTTTATCATACTGACTGTATTTTTGCCATGTAATTTGCGCTCGTACTCGATCAGCTGCCTCCAGAAGCCGCTGTTGGGTCTCACTATGGGTCTGAGTGATTTGAGCAGCGCGTGCGCCTCCGCTAGCGTCAGACGGCGGTGCTTCATCAGATACGCCAGACACAGCGTCGCCGAGCGACTGACGCCTGCGTTACAGTGAAGCAGCACGCGTCCGTCTTCATCACTGACATGCTGTATCTTATCAGCAACGGTGTCAAAATAGTCACAGAGTCTGGATTCGGGATCATCAGAGACAGGCACGTGCATGTAATCCACAGTGGGAATGTTTGTGTTGCTTACGTCCGGAGTTGTGTTAATGACACATGTAATGTTGAGTGAACGAATGACCGAAGAGTCGCTTGCTGTTTTGCTGTTGCCGATGTACAAACAGTCCGTTATCTGAGCAAACCCACCGAGTCCACCTGCTCTTCCTGGCATGGTATATGAATACTGGGAAAATGCGCAAGTGTTAATATTGCAAACATCACAACTAAAAAGCATAATTTGACAAACGTTAATTTTGGCTTGCTTACATGATTAAAATACTTTAGGGCTACAAAACGATTAATTGCGATTAATCGCATTCAAAATAAACGTTTATGTTTACATACTATATGTGTGTGTACTGTGTATATTTATTATGTATAAATACACACACATACATGTATATATTAAGGAAAAATAGGTTAGATTGATATATAATATAAATTATATACAAGTATGAATATACATACAAATATTTTTTAAAATATATACATATATGAGTGTATTTACAGTATATATACATAATAAATATACACAGTACACACACATATATTATGTAAACAAACTTTTATTTTGAATGCGATTAACCACGATTAATCGTTTTGCAGCCCTAAAATACTTTCAAAAGACTTTTGTTTGAAGGTATAGACCATAAAATCAGTGATATACACAGATTGAATGTTACTGAGTGGTTAGGCAATTGGCACTGAATTCTAGATTGTAGCTATGGTGTTGCTAAGGCGATCTGGGTGGTTGTTAGGCAGCTGCTAGGTAGTTCAAGGTGGTTGAGACTACAGACAAACAGACAACAACAACACATGACATATTGTACCGTGTCATTATTTATTTACCAAAAATAATGCCAAAAATGTAAAAGCCATGGGTGACAAAGTGAGGACACCCTTACTGTTAACATAGGAATTAAGAGGGTAAGCAGTCAGGCACTGCTAATCAAATACCTTTGATTAACTGATCATCAGCAAGTGTGAGCACCTCCATAAAAGCAGATGTTTTGGCGGTTTGCTGGTCTGGAGCCTTCAGGTGTGTGTTAACACAATGCCAAGGAGGTAAGACATCAGCAATGATCTTAGAGAAGCAATTGTTGCTGCCATCAATCTGGGAAGAGTATTACAGCCATTTGCAAACAAATTGAAGTCCATCATTCCACAGTGAGGAAGATTATTCACGAGTGGAAGATATTCAAAACAGACCCCAATCCTCCCAGGAGTTGACATCCCAGCATAAACAAATACCCACAAACATCAATAAACTGGAGCAACGTTGTAAAGAAGAGTGGGCCAAAATTCCTCCAGAACGATGTGAGACTGATAAAATCATACAGAAAATGATTAATTCAAGTTATTGCCGTTAAAAGTGGATGTACAGGCAACTGAATCATAGGGTGTCCTAAGTTTGTCACACATTGCTTTGCCATCTTGGCTTTATTTTTGTTAAATAAATAATGACATGGTGAAATATGTCATGTGATGTTGTTCATCTGAGGATTTATTTTCCACATTTTAAGACCTACCAAAGACCAGATGATTTTTTATTATGCCCTGCTAAAGAAAACCATGGAATTTAATAGGGTGTCGGTGTCCTAACCTTTTCACATGACTGTAGATTAGGACAGTGTTGAGTAGATTACTTGCAAATTATAATCCATTACTGATTCCAAATTGCATGACAAAATTAGTAATGCAATCCATTATATTACACACTTTTGGTAGTATAATTGGAATACGTTTTGATTACTTAAATTGTTTATCACATTGATAATCGTGCACCATATTGATTTAAAACTAAAAGGAGAAAGAAAATATTTTCACAACATTAAGTGCATTAAAAATTACTTTACGTCAAGGTTTCACAAACTGGGGTTTGTGAAGAAACTGCAGAGTTTAATGACAAACTAATAATTGATTAAATCATATTTAAAATGAAAATAAATAATTTTAGTAGAACAACAATTAAAATAAAAAACTTACTAAAAAATATGTGACTATTAACCAGAGTTAGAGAAATTTGCAAATGGGTTACTTAATTATTAACTTATTACCTTGAAATCTCAGGCGTACTTCAAGTAAACAAGCCTATTTTAGGTGAAAGAGGTTCAGCTGACAAAAAAGGTTTGGGAATCCCTGCATTATATGTAAATAAGAAATAACATGAATTTGTGCATTTTCATGTTTTGGAAAAATTAATACAAAGACGTAGTAACAATAATTCAAATAAAAATTAATGTGTTCATTAAAAGCTTTCTTAAAATTGAAATGATTTGTGTAAATCCAGTGGTCAAATGCTGTGTGGCCTCTCAGAGTAATTATAGCCACCTGACTAGTGAATGGTCCTTGTGTGAATGTCAACAAAACTGGAAGATTTTCTGAATGTTGCAGAAGGCTAATTTAGAAAGGTACATTTAAAAGATGAAATAGAATAATTATGGAGAATAAATACATTATGAATAATGTATTGCTATTGTGTGAATAATATGTAATCAAAGTGTAGTCTGAGTAAGTGTAGGAGTATTTTAAAATCTAATATAATCTAATTACATGAATTTATGGAATCTGATTACTCAATCAAAATTACATATAATCAGTTACTACCCAGCACTGGATCCTGATAAGTTCCCGGAGAGACAGACAGACTGTCCAGATTTTGGTGTATTTACCTTGCAACCTTGGGTTGGGATTTTTTTTAAAGAACGTTTGTACAATTAAGCCAACATAATAAAGCTGTCTATAGAGCACACTGACTGTAAAATATATTTTATACTAGATTCCCCGCTCTTTCTCAGTGCATTGATACATGATAAACATTTCACAACTGTGTATCATCTTAAAAACTGCGACAGAAGTCAGTGTATTTATCAATAGTTTACGCTGCATTATAAAGATATATCTTAGATTGCCTGAAAAGTTTTATTAGTAGGCTATAACTGCAAAAAGTGCTCAAATATGAGCAATAATAATTACCTACCTGTGCGCGGCTGTCAGTTGATGAAGTCTTCTTCTACTCGATGCGGCTTGGAAACTGTAGGCGCACATCGCCACCTAGCGTTGATATTGAGAGCTATAAACATTTACATTACATTACATTTAGATATTTAGCAGACGCTTTTATCCAAAGACAATGGAAGCAAAACGCCAAAAACGAAACTGCCAAATATATTGAGTGTTATCTATCTATCTATTTGTCTATCTATCTATCTATCTATCTATCTGGTCTTGTACAAGTTAGCATTTGCTTTCAGACCATTGGATGATTGGATCATAGATTATTTTTTTCTCTATCAATAGTTTACGCTGCATTATAAAGATATATCTTAGATTGCCTGAAAAGTTTTATTAGTAGGCTATAACTGCAAAAAGTGCTCAAATATGAGCAATAATAATTACCTACCTGTGCGCGGCTGTCAGTTGATGAAGTCTTCTTCTACTCGATGCGGCTTGGAAACTGTAGGCGCACATCGCCACCTAGCGTTGATATTGAGAGCTATAAACATTTACATTACATTACATTTAGATATTTAGCAGACGCTTTTATCCAAAGCGACTTACAAATGAGGACAATGGAAGCAAAACGCCAAAAACGGAACTGCCAAATATATTGAGTGTTATCTATCTATCTATTTGTCTATCTATCTATCTATCTATCTATCTGGTCTTGTACAAGTTAGCATTTGCTTTCAGACCATTGGATGATTGGATCATAGATTATTTTTTTCTCTTTCTTTGAAGAAGTCTACTTTTTTTATCCTGCATAGACTGCAGAAAACTGACACTAGTTAGAGGCCATGAGATAAAAACTCAAATGATCCATGCTTATCCTCTAAGAAAGAACTATGTTGGTGCATACTTTTGTCATTGAATTTTGTTTATCTGTATACATGAAAGAGTACCCTTTAAAAAAATAAAATAAATAAAAAAGATGTGTGCGTATTGCATTGAATGTGCACTTGTAGTGAAATTTCAAAAGTATCTTTTTAAAACACTGTACTTGCAGATATTATAATATCAACTAATGGCATATAAGGCCACTTAAGTGTACTGAGACACTTTCAAACTTTGAAAAAGTGCACTTTGTAATGATGTCAAATTAATAATTTTACTTTGAAGTATATTAAATCACTATGTTTTAACAATCTTTTGTTGTGCTTTAAAGAAGTACACTTATTTTGATGTGTTGACTGTCACGAATCCTGTCCATGGACTTCCGTCGATTGCCACCAGAGGTCACCCTTCCGTTACATGGACTCTCACACTACACAAACTGTTGCATGTCATCCCGGACTAGATCTCCCATCATCCATTCCACTGATTGCACACAGCTGTAACCAATCACACACACACTATATTACACCCACTCAGATCCTTCTCAAACTGTCCAGTATTGTTTAGCGCTTATCGCTCACCTAGTGATAGCTACTCTACGGAGCAGCGCTGGGTTATATTTAACCCAGCATTTTTTAGAGTGTAGTGTGATTTTAAAGTCTTTGTGTTTTTAAAGTTTTTTAAATATTTTAAATTGACTAAATTGCAACTTCATCAATACAAATGTGTAATTACAAATTTATTTAAAGGGGTCATATGATGCGATTTCAAGTTTTCCTTTCTCTTTGGAGTGTTACAAGCTGATTGTGCATAGATAAGATCCCTTTTGATGTGTTGACTGTCACGAATCCCATGGATGGACTTCCGTCGATTGCCACCAGAGGTCACCCTTCCGTTACATGGACTCTCACACTACACAAACTGTTGCATGTCATCCCGGACTAGATCTCCCATCATCCATTCCACTGATTGCACACAGCTGTAACCAATCACACACACACTATATTACACCCACTCAGATCCTTCTCAAACTGTCCAGTATTGTTTAGCGCTTATCGCTCACCTAGTGATAGCTACTCTACGGAGCCAGTTCCCTGTCAAAGTTCTAGTTCTAGTTTCCATAGTCTAGTCATAGTCTTGCCTGTTTTCTCCTGTTCTGATTCTTGCCTGTGTTTCTCGGATTACCCTCTCATCTCGCTCTGTTCGGATACTGTTTACCCCTAGCCTGGACCATCGCCTGTGTTTCAGATTAACCCTTTGGATTACCCTGTTTGGACATTGTTTGCTGGAGATCGACCACGCCCGTTCACCGGACTACTCTTGTGTCTTGCCCACGATATACCTGTTTGCCATTGTTTGACCCATGCCTGTTATGACCACGCCTTTTAAATAAAGCCTTGCATATGGATCCGCAAGTCTCACGTCTCGTTCGCTCCGTTATATTGACTAACATACTAAAGCACATGTAAAGTATTTGATTATAATTTTAGGAGGGGGCTTTGTAGAAAACGAAGCGTTTGAGAGAGGCGGGGCATAGAGGACCTACAATAATGTACAGTATTTGAAAAATAATGTGTTTTTTGAACATTAAAGCATGTCAACATATTCTGTTACACCAAATACACAAAATAATGATCTTTAAAAAAGCATCATATGACCCCTTTAAACACATGACACAATTTTCAATAGAAATGACATTAAAGTGTTTTAGTTCAATAAAAAATGCTTGTCGGTATATTCAGCAATACACTTTAACCATATTTTAAACACAATAGAAGTTTTTAAGTTTTTAAGTTTTTTAAAGTTTTTAAATTACATATAAAGAGTTCTTAAATAAACTGCATTTAATGAAAAATTAACTAATACATTTTCACTTAATCGAAATTAGCATACAATTAAGTGTGAAAACATTCAATTTAAAGTACAGTGTTTCCATAAGAAGCACTCTTTTTAAAAGTATGCTGAAGTGTATTTCTTTTTCACAAGGGCATACATTCAGTCCTACAAAAACTGAATAAACTGATCACCTCAATTTTCCAGTTAAATTGTTAGTTTCAGACTGAGTGCATATTCATCAAGTGTTTCTGATTTTGTCTTTCAAAGTTATAATTATGCATAACCAGTCCAAATATCCTCTAAGGTCAGGATGAAAGAAAGTTCATCTCTCTGTTATAGGTGGGGAGAAGCTCGGTTGTTCTTGCGTTCCTTTTGAAGATCAAAGGGAACACACTTCTGAAGGTCTTTCTGAAGTTGGCACCCATGAAGGCGTGGATCACGGGGTTTATGGAGGAATTGGAATAGGACATGCAGTGAGCCCAGATTTTTAGTTTGTAGAGTGTATAACTGTGACTCACATCTTCAGAACAGAATGCTTGTAAGAGAATCAGTATCTGGATTGGACCCCAGCAGACCAGAAACAGCAGCACCATCACAACCACCAGATACTCTGGTTCGCACTGCTTCAACCCGTTCTGCTGACGTCTGCAGCTACAAAACCAAGAGCACTCTTAGACAAATTATGTTCATTATGGTTTTATATATAACATATTTTTCCAAGATAAAGGGTTGAGTGCATTGATTCTAAATTACTGCTGTAAAAGAAAACTGATCATTTTGGAAAAGCATTAACAACAGTGTGATCTGTTCACACCAATAACCACGGAACAATAACCACAAAGATAACTCTAATGATTAATATCCACACCAAGGCACAATAATATTATGTTTATTATAAGTGCACTGCAGTTGTGTCATTTATTGCATTAAATGCTCAAACTCTTTAAAGTCGAATGGATTCTGATTGGCTGTCAATATTTTTATTGTTTATCAGCTGGAAGAAATTGTTCTGAAATGCCAACAATAAAAATTGTTCTGTGTCATTATTATTGTAGCTGTGATGTTGACCTATTTTCATAGAATTATAATGATTATTAAAACTTTACGGTTATCTATATTGTCTTAAGACACATAAATTAGCACCAAAATACCATAACGTTTGACTGGACACAACCTTTCAAAAAGTCTATTGTTTTTGCTACCCCAACTACATGCATTCGGGTTTTTTTAAACACACATTAATTTTGTTATTTGCATTCCGCATTTTTCCCACCTGCACATCACTACCAGAGCTGAAGCCAGGAGTAACCCCTTCTTTGGTCACAAACCACCAGTTTAAAACAAAGACTATAGAATAAAGGGACTTTGCTTAAAATCACTAGTTTTGTGTATTTTATGAATAGTTTGATATAACTTATGTAATCATTTAGCTAATTCTTATTACTTATGAAAATATTTAGTATCTCCACAAACCATTGGATATATAGGGTAGAATGTAGACTAGTTAGGATTTAGGATAAACTTATTTAGGATCTATCAGAAAAGGTGGTCAGTGATGTGATGCAGCTCATTCTACAATTCTTTTTGTGGAGGTGTTTCATTCAAGTTCATTTATGCTGTTGGGTGGCACCTGTGCTCCCGGTGTGTGTGTGTGTTTGTGTGTGTGTGTGTGTTTGTTCACTACTCACTGCTGTGTGTGTGTGCACTTTGATTGGAGAAATGCAGAGCACAAATTCTGAATATGGGACACCACATACTTGGCCACACGTCACGTCCTTTCCTTTTTCCTTTCCTTTCCTTAAATACCCTTCTGAAAGTTCACAACATTAAGAATGGCTGACGTTTATTTTTACCGCACTGATTCAGAAAGTTACCACAATTTGATCAGCACTTACACAAAGTTTAATTCTGAGTATAGCCTAATTTGGGACGATATCGTAAAATTCTATGCATGTTTAATTGATAAAGTATTTACATTGAAAAGTTTACCTCCATAATGCAACCATGCTATCACATCTGTACCTGGTTACAGCCATGAACAGGTTCCACCGTGGCTTGACCCATGCGTTTCAACATGAAAGTGTAACACATGCAGATGGTGATCAGAGGCAGCAGGTAAACAGCCAAGAAGGAGTAAAGAATGTAAGCCCTCTTATGAATGAGAGAGGGAAATGCCTCGGTGCAGTATGTCTGTGGACCGAACCAGAACGAAGACTCTGTGTGCTGATACAAAGCTATCGGCACTGAAAGAAGCAATGAACCTGTGTTAAAAAAGATAATACAATTTTTTATTTTACCACTATTTGAACCTTTATTTTCAAGTGTATAACTATGATAATATGAATAGCTGTCAAAAGAAATATCACAAGCGATGAAATTGAGATTCTACTTAAACTGATTGGAATGATTTTCATACATATCCAAATAGTGGTGCATACAGACAGAGCCATCTGTGGTGTTCGATGACGGAGGGACTGTAGTGGATAGACGGTCACGTAAAAACTATCCACACTCATTGCAGACAAAGTGATGCAGGTTGCCTGTGCAGTTACCTGTGAATTCATTCAAAGACACTGCTTAAAATACTAAACTACATAACCATATTCCACATCCTGTATAGTATAGGTAGCCTATGATATAGCCGTTTAGACACTTTTGTAGCCATTCATTCCATTTAACTATTTCAATCATGACAACTCTCTGAAGATTTTAGCATGGTGATGGATATGACAATGTTAATGTATTTGGTCTTGGCTGAATCGATCTGCTACGCTGCTGCTGAATTGCTGCTGCTGTTGGTTATTGCTATAGATTATTGCTGCTGCTGCAAGCAAGTACAGGAACTTGCTACTGCCAATGCATATGGCGATACGGTGCCGTGAGTATTTAAGACATACTGCTGCTGCACAAATAGCATATAAAATAACCCGTAGCAGATCTATACAGGTGGAGCTGGGGAAGGTGGAG